AGGGTTTGACTGGTAGAATAATAGTATCACTTTGAAAAAGATGCAATTTCAAGATGACCGCTGATACAAAATGGCGGATTACATATTGTTCCACAATTACTCCAATATGGGTATCAAATGACAGGTCTTGACTAGTAGAATGTAGTACCTACACTTTGAAAAATCAAATTCAAAATGGCCGCAGTTATAACGTGGCGTATTATATATTTTGGGTATCACATGACAAGGGTTTGACTAGTAGAATAATAGTATCACTTTGAAAAAGATGCAACAGATACAAAATGGCGGATTACATATTATCTTGTAATACAGAGGCGCTAAATGAGCTAAGAACGGAAAGAATTGAGTAACAAAATTAAAAACTAAAATAAGTGAAAAAAAATATTTAAAACGGTTTTATTGAAAAAAAAAAGAAGATAATAATGATGTAGATAATGTACAGAATACTAGAAAATAATTCGGAAGGTCCTAGGTAGCAGTCATTACACCACTCTGCCCAGTTATCTACGATAATAATCAGATAAGAAAGTAATATAAAATGGTTGGGTGTAGTACTTACATATTTTCTCAGGTTACGCTACGCCTAACAAATTTATTATTTTTTATCTGATCAATACCGTACGTTGCTGAGGAGAATGGTGTGATGACTGCTACCTAGGACCTTCCGAATTATTCTTTAGTTTTTAGTAGGTACATTATCTGCATCTTTTTTTTCAATGAAACCGTTGAACATATTTTTTTTTTGCTCCAGAGCCATGTGTCACGTTCCTACGAACGACAACCATCAAATGAAAACTTGTACGATGCAAGATTCTACAAAAAAGTATTACCTTTTGAAGTGTGATTCGTAGCACTGGCTGACAAAAATCATTCGACAGTCGATGTCGAAGCTTGACTTCCTAAAGAATTGCCTTGGGGAACCTTGTTAACCTCTAATATGTGTGGGTTAAATCTTCGTAAGAGGANCCCCTGCCCCTGAGTGTTATTTAAACTTCATTGATGATACCGAATAGAATATATAATCAATCCCCTCTCACTTTTGGAAGTCTATTGAAATAGGTATTCAAAAACTACATAGTATAATGCATTTGAACAACAATCAAGTTGACTCTGGTCGAAAAATTAATAACTTTTTGGCAGAAAATGTTTCTTCTGTTTATGCTAATACTACTTGCAATATCAACAATATTTGAAAAACTTATACAGTAATAGTTTGGTTGGTGATCAAATACAACACTATTTAAGAAACTCTCCCACCATTATCCAAATAAAGGTACAAAACTGACGCCGTACCCCCAGTGTTCTCAAATTTCGCAGTTTCATTCTCTCTCAACTTCTCTATCTGATTTTCGATGAGTCTCTTAATACGGAAACATTTCTCAATATTTGGAAACTAGGTATGTTATACCTATCTTCAAAAGAGAGAATTCATCTAATATAAAATCTACCGACCTAAATCCAAGTTGGATGCCATACCGAAGCTATTTCGACAATGTAACCATGAGCTTTTAATCTCTATTCTCATTGGCATCGGACTATCTGGATCGTCCATGAGCTGGATTGAAGATTACCTGATGAGAAAATCTCAAATCATCCAGGTCAAGAACTTCTTGTGCAGGGAAATAGCAGTGAAGTCGGATGTTCCCCAAGGTTTCCATCTAGGACCTGTACATCCTAATTTATTTATGAACGACATTTGCAAACGATCCAAAACTATTTGCTAATATAACCTCTCATGATGAAGCCTTTTACGTCCAGAGTGATTTGAATGACTTTATAAACTGGTCCTGCTCAAATTGAATGTATGTAACTTTCGGTGATATCCTTGAAACAAGCTTCTCAAGTTGCATATTTCATTTATCAATAACAAATCTCTGAAAGTTTTGGGAATCATCGGAAAAGTTACTGCTGGTTTTGCGAATATACATGGAATCTTTGAAAGCATTGCATTATGCTTTAGGACTGCGTTGAAAACTGCTCACTCATATGAAATTCATTCTATCACGTTCATTCTCTAAATTTTGAACGGGTTCAGCACAAATTTTACAATTACCTGAATTTCAAGCTCCATATCTAATTCAACTACCCGTATTTTGTGAACAATTTCCTAACATATCCTCACTCTATCTCAGGAGAAGACATAAAGATTTATTCTTTCTTCACTAATTGATTAACAGTGAAGTGAACAGTGCTAGTTTCCTATCAAAAAATGTATCCAAGTGCCATCTCATACCACCAGAGTTCGTCAAACCTTTCATATATACTTTCATCGAACCAACTATGGGTACAGCAGTTCTTTTCCACCTATACAAAGACTAGCGAATGAATTCCATTATATCAATCTCATCTTATTCCTTGTCATACGTTCAGTGATAACTAAACTCAAATTGCAAGAATATAAATGATTCTAGAATGTTGTTTTTATATATTCAAGATTATTTTATACTTGATTGTACTGATTGTACTTATAAACGTGTGCTTGAAGTGATCTTGAAGTAAATTTTTTCTTCTTATTTTAAAAAAATTCTATTGACCTTAGTATTCATTACTGTTTTATCATTGTTAGTTGTTAATATTGAAAATTTTTATTTTTTTATGATATTTTACAAAACTGGGCGTGACCTATTAATGGATAAGTGAATGAATAAATATAGAGAAGCTGCTTGAATTTTCAGCAATAAAGCTGTACATTTCACATCAGTAGATCAAATAGTTATTGAATTTGAAGAAACAGAACTGACGCATAACATTCAAAAAGAAAAATCAACCATGGGTGGTCAATAAAGAAATGTAGTCTTTACAGAGCACACAATTCTGACAAATAGTCAGAATTGTGTGCTCAATATCAAGAAAAATTCATAGACACTGCTTTCATGACAGAAATTATTTCATTTTCTGATGAATTTACATTCAATTCTTCTGGAACAGTTGCCTTTGGTGGAGCGACTTTAATATACAAACTAGAGATAAATAATCATTCAAAAGCAAACATTGAGTGCCCATTCGTTTTTTCAATAACCAGTTGTCTGATTTTCTTCACGATCTACCCCACATGTGATAGACTATATATATATAGTATCAACAGGATGAAACATCTTGTTACAGTACCACAAAAGTTCCTCAGCACCTGTGCAGTGATCAATACGTTTCAAAACTTCAATCATTTTTCATTCGTATAAAACTAAAATAACCCACGATACCTTATTTTGCCTAAAAAACAATTCACTCCAGCTAGTCTTTTTGATCTATTCAAAGATATTTTGAAGAATTTGCAACAATGTTTGTTTGGCAAAACCTAAAACAATGCCAATAACAGTGTGGCCAGGAATCCACGGAGACAATTTGTTAAGTCTTCCTATTTTGGCAATTTGCTACAAACCTAGACGTTGCTTGGTAGGAGCCAAGAGCTTCCACAGCTGCTTGACTTGGTTTATTAGACCATTTTCAAGTGAAAGGGATTTTAAAATTTACTCTATCCATAAAGGTTCCACGAGTAGCTTGGGATGGTAGGTCAATCACGGCAGAGCCCCGCACTACCGTAACAAGGTTCGAAGGTCAGCTGATAGACTCAGTGTCATTTATCCTCTCAACACGGATACACACACAATGGGATTAAGCCATCGTTGGAATGCCAGTCGTTTAGGAAATAATAGAACCACAAGCAATTCTGTCATTCCCATATCCAGCGGGGCTTTGAGGAAGCAGACATCCGATGGCTGGTTTGCTCGACCCCCACATTTCAATCCAATACACTCGCAGAAATAGCAGGCACAGTGGCAATGGAAAATGAACAAGGACGGCCAACTCGCTGACCTAACAAAGATACAAGACATTTTTCCAGATTTTTTTTTCATTTTTCAACTTTCTCCCCGTCCAAATAGTAGTCGGCATTTTTCTCTGCAAAATAATCGTTCACGAAGATGATTGCCTCCCATTTGACGAAAATCTCTGTCCTTTGAGGGCATTTTGGGATGAAAGAACAGAAAGAAGTCGCTTGGGGCTAGATCTGGTGAGAAAGGTGGATGGTCAAGCAGTTCAAACCGTAATTCGTGAATTTTTGCCATGGCAAGCGCTTAAGTGTGAGAAGATGTGTTGTCTTAGTGAAACAGAAATTTCTTTTTCTGCAAATGTGACCCTTTTTTCGCAAGTTCTGCCTTCAGCTTGTCAAGATATGATGTGTAGTATGCTCTTGTGACGATTTTTCCTTTTTGGAAATAATGGTGTATCCAAGTTTCATGTACAGTAATTAATCAGCGTCAAAACTCAGATTCATTGCCCCTGAACTGCGCCAATGGAGCGTTAGAAATGTTCATTCGAACACGTTGTTGGTCTAACGTGAGCAAAGGCGGCACCCAACGAGCGGGCAGTTTTCTCGTGCCTAGATGTTAATTCAATATATGACAAACACGTTCTTTTGACATGTTCATAACCTTTACTATCTACATTACTTCAATTCGGCGGTTGTCTAACACCATTTGGTAAACTTTAGCGATGTTTTCGTTGTTAGTTGCAGTTTTTTGAAGGCCCAAATGGCCATCGTCCTAAACTCTTACGACCACGTAAGAATTTCACTGTGGTAAATGATGATGCAGAGTCACCAAACACAGAATCCAACTCATCTTTGATTTGCGTAGGCATATTGCCTTCCGAAAACAAGTATTCAGTGACAGCTCGATACTCGATTTTGTTGATTTTCATAAAAACAATCACATCAACTCACTCAGACGACTGTTACATAACGACTGCGGATCCAAAATGGCTGAAACTTTGGTGAGTAACCGTCAACATATGAACAACGAAATTCACTAGCTTTTATTTTCGAATGTTGCTATCTTCATGTTGAGGTCGGAAACTTTTCAGACCACTCTCGTATATAGTAACATCTACAACTGACAATAAATCTAACAACAAATTATAAAATATATTAACGTTCTACCATCTGTTGTATGTATCTATTTTCTCAAGAAAAAAAATCAATTTTGTTTACGTTTATTTTTCAGCTGCACGACCGGGAAATGTCTGTTACAGTAATGAACACTGCCGCTTGTGGACCGCCGATAGTCACTGTGATTTTTTGATCCCAAACCTATTTGGCAGATGCCAGTGCAACTCTCCATTCAAACAAGTTGGTGATTCTTGCGTCAGATCCGCATTCCAAAGTGAACTTACCACTATAGTTGCTGCTACTACCATAACAAGTTCACCAAGGACAGGTTCAACTACCATAAGTTCAATGACAAGTTCAACCACAAGTTCTGCCACTACGCCACAATTGACAACACGTCATCAAAATAATGAGATCGAAACAAATGTTATCGACGATGATTCAACTCCACATTCACCTGTGTTTCTTAGAACTAATTCAAAGAAATCTGTGACGAAAAAGGTAAAAAATTGTTAAATTGTTATTTCTAGAATTTTGGTTATCACACACCAGTTCTCTTTTATGAATAGGAAACTCAGAGATCGTTTGAAGTGTGTTATTTGAGAACACAATTGAAATGAAGTATACCTTATGTAAATGTAACACATTCATTCTGAAAAAGAACTGGTTTGAAAAATATATAAGATATCGTCACATTCCGAGTGTACGTGTCCAGGATTAAATATTTGACTGACAAGTTCGCTATGCTCCATTCAAATTATAGGAAAGTTTTTCTTTTCTTCGATTTATGATAACCATAAGCATGTTAATAATAATACAACTTCAGCAATAAATTTTATTTGAAACGCGTTTCTCTACACGGTACTCTGATGATAATTGTCTCTTTGCCCAAAACTGCGACGCGGCGGTTGATAGTATCGATGGACGGCGTAAGATTGGTTCATCGAATGAGTTCTCGGAAGGAAGCCTGCATCTATAACTTCTTCCACAAACCGTATCGGCAGACCAGTCTTACGTCGTTTGATGGGATAACTATACTTCCGATGGAGATATGCGCCACAGTTATGGATGAAAATTCCAATTCTTTTGGCTCCTGGATGATGACCAGATGACAGTCTCGTACTCCAAAACTGACTTCAAGTATTCACATGATGGAGAAACACCCTTCTTCAGTAGATATGTAGAATGCGTTTTAGTAAAGCTTCGAAAAAAACCCGAAATACAGTTGAATCATTGCAGATTATTCGTCTACTTCTATGTTTTGAATATCAGTATATAAAAGATGAGTAAGAACATCAGTTATCCATTATAATTCATCAAATTTTAAGATTATGTTTTAAATTTTGAAACTGCACACATTTCTCATTACAGATAAAAGATGGACATGGGAGAAAAAACACAAAATTGGCCTTTCATGTCTTATTTTTACATAAATCTAAACAGGACATTTTTTCTCGATGCGGTTTCATTAAGTTGCCAGAATGTCATCGTCAATTCTTCCAGGTCAGGAGACCAGCTCCCCTACCCTTTTGGCTGATTGTTGATCTTGAGAGGGACCAATGGGTTCATGACTGATTGATGACGGCATGAAGTCCTTAGACATCAGTGCTGCCCTTCACGGGATACCCCTACCTGGCTGGGGTGGGATGGATGAGAAAGTTATTCATCCGTTAACGGGGGACATGAGGGCCTCATTCGACAGAGTGTCGGGGCCTTCTATATCGGGAGGGGTCGTCTACAGCATAATCTGTGGCTTCCCTAACTAACGCATTAAGTTGTCGTCTTCTCTCTCTTCTTTATTGGCCGATGCTTCCTGTTCAGGCGCAATTGGGGGTTAAGTTGTCGTCTTCAATCGAAAAAACATTTAAATCATGAAGTCCGCAGTGTATTATTTTTTTGGAATTTTCAAATCAACGAAAATCGAAATAAACTACATCGTCATCGTCAAAAAAAATATGATTATTGTGAAACTCAAATCCTCCTGATTTTCTCGAAAGTAGAAGTATTTCGTCAAATAGGTTACATGTAGTGGAAAAAAAGGTGAACAAAAATAGTCAGTTAGTTTGAAATTTGTTCAGGGGATCACGATTTCTACTAAAAGAAGAAAAGTGAAAGCCTGAAAATTCACTAGTTGTCTCAGAAACAGAAACTGTAGATGAACAAATATGCTCAAAATTAGTTCAGTGGACCGGAATTTTCAGTAAAAGAAGAAAAAATCCAATCTCAAAAATCACGAGTTCTCCTAATTACAGGAACTCAGAAACTTGTTTTGTTTAATTTTGTAAGGATTTGAAATATCAAATTCGCACCCCATTAGAGTACCTGCAAGGATTTTTCACCTGCATTTGGTTATGAAAAGAAGTTACTTTTCCTGTTTTCACAGAGGCTGAGCTTCTTTCCAAGAAATAACTAATCCTAAATTCAATGAAAAATATATTCTCAGTTTGATGGAAATAGCTGATGGCAGCACAAATGAAGTAACATTGCAGAAAATGATACCATTCTACTTACAGATGAAAATTCTCTCTTGAATTATTGGTCAAATGGTACTTTTTCAGGTCAAGATGAGTTGAAGGTGAAGTGATAATAACAATACAGTTTTTAATGACAACTGCAGTATTATTATTTATTTCCGAAAAAGGTTACGTATTATGTTCATCATATGTAATGCATATACTACATTTTTCCCCACACTTTCGATACGTTAGTACCTGAAGGGGACAGAAAATATATCTAACTCCACTCATGTATCAATTTCAATTTTTTTATTTAATACACTTATCAAGGGTGTTCTATTCATGCCGTAAAATGAAAGTTCCTATTCAGCAAAAACAAAAATCCTGATTCCTTAATTTTTCTGCGTAGATATCTATCAATTGGAAAATACATTTCTCAAGGTGAATTCTCAATTGAATTTTATTTTGTCACTGTCAATTTCTACACTGAATTACGATTTTTGAAACTTCAGTGAGAATGGCCAAAACTTCCACCCGTTCAGAATAGCTGACTAAAGGAAATGCTATTTCGACTTGTGATCATTGTAGATTTCATATTTCATTTTATCTTCATTCATTAATTCACCATCTGATCCTTTCTTTCAGACACCATCTTCCATTACCACTACGGAACTACCTTTGACTCAAGAACCTACCTCTGCTCCAATGGACTTTACAACTAAGACTACCATATCAAGCAGATCAACCACGATGGAACCTACATCAGCTTCACCTATAGAAACTGTCAAACCTTCAATTACTTCGAGTAAGTTCGCACTTGTAACTCATCTTAACAGAGGCCTATGGATATTGTTGACTATTCAATACTCAAAAATACTCATCACTGGAAATCAACAAAAAATCGTGCTGGATGAAACGAGGAATGCTGTAATATAATGCAATATAGGTTGACATCAATTCAAGAACTGAAACTGAATTCTGATAAAATATCTATTTTAAAACTGTTTAAGACTCATTGTGTTTTAAATGATAGAATTCGTGAACGAATCATTGAAAACTGCAAACTTCCAGTACATGTTTCTGGTTTATTGGCAGCCGTCAATATGGTACAGCAAGGTTAGGCAATGGTTGATTTCTGAAAACGGCACAACTGCGAAGAGTAATTTATCAACAGAATTCAGCTAGGGTGATCTACTTGAAATCACACGTGTGCGGCTGGTTTCTGTTAATGAATTTGGTTCTGAGCATCTAACAGCTATTTTCTGAACACAGTCATTTCTTTTTAACTGTCTTTCTTTCAAAAGGCTAATGAACAAAGTACCCAAATAAGCCATAGAAATGTATTTCGGGATATTGGCTCTCTCATATGTCTAGTGTAAGGATGAAGAGAAGTATGTCGGAAAAAATGTTTAGACCAAACCAAAGGATGTATCTATAATGACGAAAAAATAATGATTATGATGGGTTTCGGTTGATCTGTCTGATGAGTAAAATATTTGTTGAGCTACTATCTATTGAGCTACTATCAACAATAGCAATTGATCAGAAATGGCGGATACAGTACTGTAATAATTTGCAGGCATCAGCTACGATTTTTGTTGATACTGTTGAATATAATGCAGAATAATATTAAATTTGCATTCTTTCAGTTGAATGTATGGCACAATTACCACTTTGATTATAAGAACATCGGTTTTCATGGTCGAGGTCACGATTGAAGAGAACACAATCCAGGCTGGTAGACCGTGGTGAATGAAACCTGAAGTACCAAACGTTTCGTCTGGCACTGCGACTGACATCATCAGTGATAGGTGCGTTGACTGCGAGGATGGAGGTTATATATGGAAGTCTCAGCAACAACCGAGCAACGACGTTGCTGATGCTGGTTGTTATATATCAAAGTGTCAGCAACGGCAAAGACGTTGCTGAGACTTCGAGATGCCAACCACATTAATGATATATGCCACAGTATCACACGAAACGTTTGGTATTTCACGTTCCAAGCATACATGTGAGAGTATTCATTGACTTATGACTAATCATATTTGCAAAGTTTTATCAATATAGTGAAATTTACTTTTGAATTTATCAGCTCAGCCTCCTACAACAACAGGTATAAGGACTAGAGTGGAAAATGGCGACGAAGCTGTCAGTTTGGGTTTACCTTGTGTAACAGATATTCAGTGCAGAATGGCCGATCCTTCTTCCAGATGCTTAGAGGGCGTTTGTGATTGCCTTGTCAGATCAAATGAGACCAGATCTTGTTCAGCAAGAAACAGAGGATGCATTCCAGGAACTTTTCAGGTGAGTTATGACATACGTAAAATATATGTAACTACAGTTGGCTCAATTCGATGGATGTGTCTTCACATCTGAAGTCATTAACGGTAATTTATCATCTATTCGTAACGATGTGAAATATTCAAATTACCACAGTCACTTAATTGGAATGTCAATAACACAGCCTCATAACGTATCTTGGTACATTTACGAAAATCTTGTTTGAGGATTAGACTTCATGAGCTGAATATTTACATATGTGAAACCAAAGAGAAATGAAAAGATACTTAGTGAACCATAGATTCGGAGTATTCGGACATGTTGGTGAAAAGAAGGAGGAAAAATTAATTTAGAAAAAATTATTTTACCAAAAGATGAAATACATAACTATATTCAGGAAAAAAAAATTATTGTGAATCTGTTTTTTGAATGGAATATGTGTTATTATCTCATTTGAATCTTCGAGGTACTATCAACACCGACAATTGGTCAAACAGTTTGATTTTACATAATTTCAGAGAGTTTGGAGATTCTATACATCAGAGGTTCTCAAACTTATTTTTTCTACCATCCACTTCGAGAATTAATTATTTTCTAGCGCCCCCCATTTTTTTTTACTTCACTACATCTTAAGAATGGTAATCGCAGTCATTATTTTAATTAAATTATGTGTGTCACGTGAAAATAACACTTTCTGATGAGGGTAATGTAAAACACCATTTTATAATATTAGGAAAACTTTTATTTATGTTATCAAAACAAACATTTCAATTTGAATTTTGGAACTAAACTAATGTGAAGGATGAATTTGATGACTTTTAACAAGTTTGTTGATATCAGGCTCAAATTTACTCAAAAACAGCCGTAAGTCACCGCGTTCGATGATTTTTATTTCCTCGTTCTTTATCAGTTCTATGAGTTCTTCTTTCAGCTGGGGTGATCCTGCTGTGTTGGCTTTTGAAAATGGATCCAACACACAGTCCGATATTTTCAATTTTAAAATGTCCTGGAATCGTTCTGCGAAATCACTGTGGAGGTTCTCTAAATGTTGACAGTAAACAAGCACGTCGTCTTTATTGAAGAATACTGCTGACAAATTAGGGAAATTGCGAAACTCACGTCTGCCAATATTATTCTTGTATAAGAGCAATTTGGCTACAAAAGCAGCAATGACATTTTTTGTTTATATCAAATTCAAGTCGTCACCTTGAAGTTGGAGATTAGCGTCATTAAATAATTTATACAGGTCTGTCAAGTACGCAATATCATTCTTTGAAGTGATGAATTTGTCGTGCAATTCTCTGTCTTTGTTTTCCAAGAACTCTATTACAGAGTCAAATAGATTATAAAATCGAGTTTTTACACAGTTGGCTGAGCTGAGTGTTTCTTTTCCAGTTCTTGAAAATAAGTCACACTTTTGTCTTTTTTATTTGAATGCATTTTATTCAAATGCTCTTGTAGCCTTGAGGGTTTCATCGCTTTTTCAAAAATGTTTTTGACAAAGAAGGCACACAGGCGAAGATGGATGTGTGAGATTTTCAATAAATCCATATTTCATATATTCCGCGCTACACTGCCGTTTCTTCTTTTTTGCTTTCGACATCATTTTGTCTTCATAAATGCGGAAGTAAAGAATCGAGTACTAAAAACTTGCTAATGACATCACTCACAGTATTCACCACCGCACGTACAGCACTTTACCTAGCTAGTCGCTAATTAAATTCACTTGTTTTCGTAATATCGTCGAATAACATTACTGGTTGGATGGCGCGCGTGCTTTTATATGAAGCAGCGGGCGGGCCTGGTACTTTCAAAAATGGAGACTAGAAACTTCTCGCTTCGCTTACCGCCATCTATTGTACAGTTTGACAACTATCGGATAGGAAATAGTTACTGTCTAGTCCCCTGGATGGCGTTACACGAGGAAACGCGCGTTAAGTGTAAAGGAGTGGCAAAGTTTGTGTTGAAAGCAAAAAAACATTTTCAAATTAGCTATAGCCCCCCCCCCCTAAACCGCTTCAACGCCCCTCAATCTCCTCTGTGCCCTAATGTGTTGCCTAGCTGCACTTTTTGTTTTGGAAAGCAACGATGTTTCAGTTTCGATTTTTGGCCAATGCTNGCCATGTGGAAAAAACTTAATAAAGAAGTGTTATTAATTGAAAGTGAAACCCTGCCATAGTAGTTAAAAAAATTGTTATGAATTATAGTATTGAATATTCAGAATTATTGCTGGTTTGAAATTCATATCTAGTAGAAAGGCATACATTTTACTGAGGTGATCAATATCAGATCTTCTATTAAGGCAATTTATTTGATTGTTTTTGGAAATCTCATTTATATTACAATCAAATGATTGCCTCAATAAAAGATCAGACAATGATCACCTCAATGAAATCTATGCATTTCCACTAGATACAGATAAAAATCTACATGCACCAAAAATATACAGATAGTACCTAAAGTTGGTGAATCTTCGATAATCATTTTAGGTGCACTTAGAATGGTGCAAGTCAAACCCCATACAGGGTAGGTCAAACATATAAAAATTGCTCAAGAGTAAAGTACCCTTATATCAGAAACTTCAACAAAATGTTATTGAGAGAAGTTGAAAGTTATGCCTGGATAAAACACATTTTTTGGTTTTTCGACTTTTTCATGAATTTTTTCCCAGTTTGTATTTTTTTTCATAATCACCCTGAACACTTTCATAAGGTAATCATAACAAAATAAATTGACCATAACTTTGTCCAAATTAATGCATATTTGTGCAACTAACTTGGATTTTGATTATTTTCACAAACGTCATGTTTTTTACAACGATATTTAACACAACTTCAAAATTTCGTTAACCATATTTTTAACAAATTAAAATATTGGTAATGCTAATAGGTATATTCAAAAAATGTACAAATTAATCGACAAATATGAAATCCTTTTAAAATAATCGTGGATACCCATGGAACAAACAAATGGGGGTTGAAAGTAAACATTATTATTATTGATAAATATCAACAAAATAATCAAAAAGAAATATGACAATCTTTTCAATTGTTCAATGCATCTAATTGTCCGATCATAAAATTCACAAAGAGTAGATCGCAATACACTTGCTGGAATATTTCTGCAATGAAATCGTATGAAATTTTCAAGCTCCTCGGTATTATTGCTTCGAATATCCTCATGAAATGTCTGATGGGGTGAGATCTGGAGAACGAGGAAGCCACCATGGATCAGTATTTCGTTTTAACAATTTATCACCAAATTTCCCAATTAACCATTTCGAAACAATTTTAGTATGGTAGGAGAAGTTTATGGAAATCATGTTGATCTTCTATTTGTGCTTGAGTGCACATGCAGAAGTCATACCGTAAGTCATAGTCTCGTTCTTGAAACGTACAGATAAACGTATGCTGATTGACATTATATTTTTTTCTGAGAATCTTTTCAACAGAGCTTTGTTTTACACCTGTATGACTAGAAATTTCTTGTGTGGACCTTCTAGGGTTTTCAACAATGGTCTGAAGTACTTCTAATTGATTTTCCTCAGTACATATAGTTTTGGTACGTTCATTTTTATATTTAGAGTCTGAACTCCCAGTCTGTTTAAAATAATTCAAAATTTTGCTTACAGTGGAATAGTGCACTTGTTTATCTGAATGAAGTTCATTGAATATATCTGCTGCTTCACGCCCTGGTTTATAGTTATCTCCACATATTAAAACTAATTCTGCCTTTTCGACTAACGTTAACTATCTTGGAGAAGGCATTTAAAATCAAATAAACTCAATGATCAAACAATAATTATCCAAGTATGAGAAGGTAATGTCACCAAACTTTCATAAATTTTTTTTTCAAACCCAAAACTCATTTGTTTTGTACCATGGACAATAGTTTCAATAGGATTTCATATTCGTCGATTAATTTGTACAGCTTTCATGAAATGTACAATTCATGAAATTCCGTCACACTTGATGAATGTGTAATTTGAGATTTTCTGGTTCATTTAATTGCAAAAAAACATGATGTATTGATTTGATTAAAAAAAATGGCAATTGTGTCATTTCAGATTACTCCATGGAATATGAAAACAAATTATTTCTCCAACCCTCGAAAATAAATGAATGAAATTTTATTGTTGAGTTGTAAAAAACTTTATATATTATATTTCAATAAAGCATAACTAGATGCAAAATAACTATGAAGATGCAGAGATATGCTGAACTGACAGCCAAAAATGTTTTCCCAAAAACTAATCTCTCCTAAAAAAATCTTTCATGAAAATATCTTCCCTTTCATTTTAGGATTCAATATTTTCCAAACAAGAGCAATTGGTAGGTACTGAAAATTTGCGAAAAATGTTCATTTACGACTCTCTGAGGTGAATGGAGTTCATATTTACAAAGCATTTTTCTGTTGGAGGATTATTTTCATGGTTATTGACAATTTTATTGAATGTTTCCAGGTGTAAATCTTCAGGAAAATGTATCTCAAAGGCTAATAGATGTGATGGCACCAAAGACTGCTCCCTTGGTGAAGATGAAGAAAAATGTCATGCAACGGGACGAAAAGGTTGCCCACCTGATACTTTTCAATGTAGAGATGGAAAATGTTTACCTGAATATGAATTCTGCAATGCTATCATAGGTGAGTTCCACAATGGGTTATTATTGAAAATATCCTAACGGAAATTGATTTGTTGAAACTGAATTGTAGACCAACTGTTATCATTAGCGAGAGGGCAAGAGCAAAGAAATCATAATGATACTTATTTTTCAAAATTTGAAAAGAATGTATGAAGAATTCTTTTGAGTATTCCATACACACTTTCATTTGATGCCATTAAATTTTTGCAAAGATGTTTTATTCGAAAATGTCCATCTTCAACTTTATTTTCTTTGTTCACTTTGTTAAGCTTTAGCTTGACAAAGCTTCTTCAGCTATAATTTATTGAGTTTTGTTTTTGAATAACATTACAAAATTATACTTTCAGTAAAAATGAGTATAAAACAATGAATTAATCAAACATCTGAATTTATAAAAAGAAGTGAAACATATATAGGATTTTTTTTTTGACAAATGGCATACTTTTACATAAATGTCATTTCTCAATGAGCATGATGATTTGATAATCAAGAAGAGTTATTGATTGATACCATTTCAATTTTGTTTACCATAGTTTGCGCTGGTCAGGCCCTATCCCCCGAAGCCCCTATAAATTCGAGAGGTCGCGCCAGCATTATCCACCAAAGACCACTCCCCACACCGTGAGGTAAGTGGTCATTGGGTCCGAGAATCATGTGCTCTGAGCAAGCGCAGTGAGCCAAGAATGACAGTCTTCTGCATCTGTTCGGCTAAGTTCTGCCTTAGTGCGGCAAGCTAATATGATTTCAAGATTTGAGAGTAGAGAGGACATCATTCCTCCAAGGACTCCGATAATCAGAACAACCATCTTGACAGAGTGGTCTGTATAGAGTCTGCGGAGTTCAAAGAGAAAATCTCAATATTGTATCCGTTTTTTCTCCTCTTTTCGGACGATATTCGTCTTGCCAGGAGCTGAAAGCTCCACGATAAATATTGTCTCACTCTGTTGGTAGAGAAGGACTACATTTTCATTATTATTATTATTATGTTTTTGGTGTAGCTCCAGTAAGTTAATTTATTTGTTGTTGAAATTGTCGATGTCAGTTTTTTTGTTCATGCAATTAGAACACTTATTGATTTCGATTATTTCAAGAAAAAGGCTTTTGGAAATATCTTCTCTGTTCTAAGAACTTTGATATTAGAGTTGTTTGGTTTCTAATTTGTTTCTATAGAGTGTTTTTATTGAGTTTCATATCACTTTTATGTGATTCTGGATGTAGTTTCAATATAATCCAATTTACAATGGTTATAAGGAATGTTATAAATTACATTTGGTGTTTTTGTAGTATCCGTTATATCTTTCAATTTAGTATTCAAATTCTCTATAGTTTTGATATATTTTGGCATATTTTGATATTTTGTTCATTATGAAGAGGTTTTATGATATTGGAAATGTATCTTCAAAGAGAGGTGCATAATATGATATACTCAAGTATATCATATGGATATCTCTCGAATACTTTCACCATCAACGCTGGTGTTCCCCAAAGATCTTCATTGTCTCAACCATATTTTAATTGTATAACAACGACTTATTGGAAAATACGAAGAATGCAATATTTTGCTTCGCTGACTACAGCACACTTATTTCATCATTCCATTTGGATTCCGGGACATCGGCTGCAGATGCCCATCTTCACCGGCAGCAGGAGATTGCATATCTTGGTAAGGATCTAGAGGTGATTTCGAATTGAGGTGAAACTAATCAGACTAAATTCAATGCCAAAAAACCAAGGTATCGGTTTTCTCTAAAAAGATAAATGTCTCCGAACCGGATATAATAATGTCAGGATAGACAATTTTGCTTTCTGCTTCGATAAGTTTTTTGGGGGGATAAAATGGACACTAACATGTCGTGGCACAATCATGTAGCTGGAATTTCAAAGGCTCTTTCTCAAAAGCTTGAAACACTGTTCCCAACCAGAAAAATGTACACACTTCAGCAACTTTTGATGCTGTATAAAGCTCAGATCAGTCCTTCTTTGGATTATTGTTCTCATGTATGGAGCTCCGCCCCTAAGCATATAGTGAAGCTGCTGGATTTCATCCATAAAAGAGTCATCCACCTGATTGGAGGAGCGAACATCACCTGCAACCTTGATAGTCTAGAACATCGAAGAAAGGTTGAAGATGTATCTATCTCCCTCTATAGATGCTTTCAGGGGAAGTGTTAAAGTAACTTGGCACATTTGATTCCACCAGGAGCGATACATAATATCAGAAATACGCGACTGACTGTAGCTGCTCATCGTTTTGAGGTTCAACTCAGTACACCTCCAACTTCACTACTCAAGAATCTTTTTATTTGGAGAACTGCTTTTATGTGGAATGAACTTCCTAAGAATATTTTTCCAAATGGATTCAATCTCCAGCGATTCAAATCCAATGTGTATCGCTACTTTCGCACAGGCACCGCACCTTAGACATTTTCTTATAGTGTTTGTGTTTGTTTTGTTTCTAAAAAAAGGTTTATCAAATAGATAATTTAGTTTCCATGATCATTCACTTGAAAATGTGTTACTATTTGAACTCTAGTTCTAGTCATAACTGAAATTGAATATGACAATTATAACACAATTCAAGCACTATTAGATTAAATATACTGAAATATTTCTCTCTGGAAATGAGTTTCAACGATTCATATTAGGAAATAATCAATATTTTCATGAATACCCCGATTGTAAGTGAATTGTTATCTTCAAGGTTGCAGTGATGGTAGCGACGAACCTCCACATATTTGCAAAGGACGTGCGAGGAGGAGAAGGACAGAGTATTGTCCTCTTAGGTGCGGTAACGGAAGATGCAGATCAAGTGCTATAGCATGTTCGGGTAGAGATGGATGTGGGGATGGTACTGATGAAAGCCATTGCTCAGTCTGTAGTGAGTATTCGAATCATTTATCATTTCCTATCAGAGTATAATATATTGAAATGAGAATGATTGATTTGACCATAAACATGACCATATAGTACCTACACGACCATACATGACCATATAGTACAATTCCATAACAGTAGGCACCAAATTCTCAGAAATATTATTGCATTAAAACGAAAACATTGTTGTCAAAGTGGTGATTCTATATATTTTATCATCATTTGTACTCCTCTGTTTGGTATAATTTCCGTACACCACTGCAAGAGACAGATTAACGCAAAAACGTCAGTCATTTCTGAGAATTCAGTGCCTACTATTTTGGAATTATAGTAGTAGTACCCAATATATTTTCATTCTTATTTCTTCTGGTGATGATTTTTTCATTTACATATCTTTATTATTATTGGGCAGTAGTGCAATAGATGATTATTAAATATTTCAAAGGAGTCATGTCTTTCATTCTGAACAACACTTATTCACCCTAAAATTTTTATATCCCTAATTTTGTGTCATTTTACATTGCCAATCGAGCACACCCCTACAGTTAAATAATCAAGTAACTCAAATGATAGTTTGGATGATAGATATTCATTAGATACTGATCGATAGAAAATGTCGTGCTGCTGCTGTTAATTTTTTTCCAAATTTCGATTGTTTGCCTCTTACTACTACCTATATGATGTCGTTAAGCGATTTTTGACCGATTACTCTCTTCGAATTCAAATTGAACCAAAGCCCTGCCAAAACAGCCCGAAAAATTAAATAGGAATTTGGCAATGTTGGCAGTGTTGATGAACGCATTGTTCGACGTTTGAAATGTGTTTTTAAAGTCTGTTTTTTCGGTAACCAGCTGTCGCAACCCTCAGAAGTCGAAACTTGTGCGGGTTGTGCTAAGGATTAACGAGGTCTTACCTTTCAACGTGTGATTTCTAACATGGGTTGGACGATAGCAAGTGAAAATCGATCGTTCAGACTAGGGCTTGAACCACCGGCAACACGTCAAACCGCTTGGCTACCGACCGACCGTTGGTTTGCGAAATTTTGTTCCGGATATTTTAGCTTTGAAGCTGAGCCCCGAAGATGAGCCTTGAAGAGCTCGGCCTATATTAATCCAGGACGAGAATTTGATAATCCTGGTGGAGACTGAACCATCACAAACGGCGCGTGGGATGGAGGAAGAACTGGGCATCAACTCCCATGCGGTTTTTGATGGTTTGAAACGTATTGGAAAGGTCAATAATCGATTTGAACGATCGACAAACATTGTCAGGTTATGAGGTCTGTTTTTCTTTTGCGCAACCAAAACGATCTTATTTGGATCGGATCGTCAAGTGTGATGAAAAGTGAGTCCTCTACGACAACAGGAGATGTTCAGAGCAGTGGTTGTACACCAATCAGTCACCCAGGCACTTCCAAAGGCGAAAACTTACAGAAAAAAGGTTTTTATTGTATGATGGTCAGCGGCTAGGGTTATTCACTAAAACTTTCTGCAAAACGGGCCAAACCATCAAAGTAGAGTCCTATTGTGGATTTTAATTGACCAACGAAATTGTATACAATCTTAGAGTTTTTCATATTCAAACTCAGCCACTCTCAGCCAGGACTCTTGTGCTTTTCCGCTGTCGCTCAATTTTTCGTCAATATCCGTTAAGATGGGTGCAGGTTTCTCAGGTTCTGAAAGATATCGAAGGAATTCCTTGGCATTTCGATGGGCAAAACCTATGAATCGAGGGGCAAATCTTTGAATCTGACTTTTGAAGTAGACTGAAGTGGACTCATAAAAGCTGACAAAACTTTTGAAATAGCCTAATATTTGCTCATTTATTCATTATTCATTTCTGTGTTTCAGGGTGCCCCGTTGTTCAAGGCCGAAACTTATAGTTCATTTAATTCCTTTTTGAACTTTGTACAATGCCAAAAATTTTGTAAATTGTTTCTATTACAATAAATTCATACATATTGTAATATGTAGTTCTAAGTACCTTTTATATATACTTTGTTAGTTAGACTTTTGTAATGTTTATAAATTGATACAGGTATAAGTTTTTGTCAAAATATAAATGTCCTACATTATTTTTGATGTATTCATTCTTCAGTTATAATTTTTCTTCATATATTTCAGAAAAAATAACATGAAATGATTTTTATTCCATTTTCTTCACCGTTCGAATTGAGAGTTCAGTTTAGCATCCTTTTGTGAGGTCAAAACTTAGAATCAAAGGATCTTTTCTACCATATGGCATTATAACAATTTTGTTTAAAAACTTATAAATAGTAATTTTTGGGTGTTGAATAATTTGACCCCTAATTGAATTTACGATTCAAGTGGGTGGAAGTGATAAAGTTGAAAATATGCTCAAATTTTTTTTTATCTCAAAATATAAATCAAATGATTTGGACTATTTTTCTCTACATGTCAACTGGTAGTTTCCGTTGTTGCACCATATATATCATCATTGCCAAAAGTTTCCAATTCCACTGATATGGAAACTAGAATCTTTCGTACATTTGCTGAATCATTTGAAAAATTTATTCATTCCTAGATGCAGGAACACGTCGAACCAAATGAATAATATTCAGCTCTCCTGTCATATTGGCTGTACACCTCTTCATAGCTGTGAAATCGTTACCCTCAATAGTACTGAAAGTATTCCTACTGTAGTAGTGGCAAATAATCATGTCTAGTCTTCATGTCTTTGTCAAGGCGTCTGATCAGCATCTGTTTTACCACCACCTGTCCCTTTACTCTTTCTAGATTTTGTTTTCAAGTCAACATCATATTCAATCTCATATATTTGATCTCCCTCCACAGTAGTACCTTCACACCTCGAAGTTCCAGAGGTTTCAATCCCTCTACAATTCCTCCACGCTACTATAGCAGAATTTTGTTGGGTTTATGTTCAGCACTTTTATCTTATCGGTACATCTTGCTATAATATTCATTCCTTACTATATTATTCTATTTGCCCTGGACTACGATGACTAGGTCATCTGAATAGCCTAATACTTTATTTCCATTATGATTCAGAAGACCTATATAGTAACTCGTTCATCGCAAGATTCCATAACATCGAGAAAAATTCCCCTGAAGACAGCCCTTCCTACTGGTGCTACTACCACCTCCACAATCTTCCTCCAAGCACTGCGTGTTTGGAGTCGTTGATCATTTTCTCTTCGACGTCCGGATAATTGTTATCATATATGCCCCCAACATTCGAAATATCAGCTCGAAGTACTTTCCTGTTTTTGTAAGCTAATTATACTTTTTTCGTGACCCGACATGCGAAGCCGTTTTTGTTGGCATGACTTATCTATACGCATATTGTTCTTGGTGCAGTGATCTGTTAGCAAGTGCTAGGTTTCAAATAGGCCAAGTACTGTTCATAATGTTTCAATACATATTTGGTACATGAATGAAACTAATTTGTATCAAGGCCGTCTTCAAATCCTGTCCAATTTTCTCAATTTTAAGATGCTCTAAGGTTTCGATATGAAGTTGATTCTAATCAGTATCCATATTTTCAGTATCCAAATCAATTACACACACACATTTTGGACTAGAAATTTTGTGCAGCATTACTCAATGAAAGCTGACTAGCCCTGACGACTTCTTTGAAATTGACCGCTTTTTTGCCACCAGCCAATGTTCCCTGGGCGTCACTTCAAGAGCTTCCAGTTGAATTTGTCCATGATTCATGTAAATTATTTTTAACTCCTGACCCCGAGAAGTGTACCCGGAAAAGCTCTTATATAGTCTCCTGTCCGTGTAATTTCCGATATTATTCAAAAGAAATATATCAAGACCTGAGGTCTCTTTGGGAGTATCATATATAATCTGGTCAATACTTGGGTATGTTTGACTTCCTCGAATTGTCTTCTTCATGAGTTCTTCGATTTTCTCAGGGCATTATGTTGTATTCAATTATAAATTCCCAGTTCCACATATATTTTCTGGCACTTTTATATTATTATTCCATCCGTGCTAGACATCAATTCCACCAGGCAACTCTCCTGTTTGATATCTTGCTCACTGTGGAATAATGTTATGAATAATGTTAATAGCTCATTGTAATTGTCTGCTGCCAATTCACTCATTTCAAAATCTATTCGGTCAATCCAAGTTTCCAGGTTTGCCTTACATGTTTACCGATTTCTTTGTTTTGCTAAAATATGATCTTGGCTTGAAACTCAAACTTGTCAAATATAATTGAAATCTCTAGCGTAAAAAGTATCTCTTGAAAATAGTTTTCCCACATCATAACGAAAGTTCTTACTCTCAACGCGCGTTTTATCAACCAAGATTACTAAACAACTTCAATTAATTTCCAGATGAAGTATGTGTAGCGAAGTTTAATACTAGGACTTTATTCAATAATTTGTTTCGCTCTTTATAATGCACAAAGCCAAACCTTTACTAATTTCATGCCACGATTTACAATAAATAATTCTTATCAATTAGTGACTAATATAAAAAATGTAATTCTTCCTGATAACTCAAAATTATTATCGTTTGACATCCAAAATGTATTTCCCAGTATTCCGCCAAATGAAACGATTGAACTGGTTGAGCGTTTCTCAGACAAAACCATACAAATCCACTAATTAAATAGAAAATTTCAGGTTTACTCACTATTTGTCTATCTCAAAATTATTTCCCCTTTTACCAAAAATTTTATTCATGCAGTGAAGGACTAATAATGGGTAACCCGTTGAATCCTTTGCTTGCTGAAATTCTCATGGATAACATAGATAACATAATAATCGATTAACTAACAGTTTCTTGTAATGGTACAGGTACGTACTGTTTTACTGGTACAGATGAGCAATTATATAAGTTCGTCGAATATGTCAATTCCATTCACCCGTCAATAAAATTCAACGCTGAGAGGGAGATAAATAATATTTCAATAAATTACCTTGACTCAAACATTACGAAAAATAACAATAAACATGATTTTGCAATTTTCCACAAACCTTCTTATACGGACATTATCATACATAATTCCTCACCCTTACCACCATGAAGTATCTTCATTCAATATTATGCTTCACAGCTATTCTACTGTCTGAGAGTAATTTCCAGAGAGAGTTGAGTTTGAACAAACAAATCGCGGTCAACAACAGTTATATAAGATAGATATTATCGACTCCATTCTTTTCAAAAAATTACAAAAACAAGCCGTGGACTAGGTCAACCCAAATTCAAGATGCGATAACGTCAGCCATAGGACATTGTCATATTTGGGTGAACCCACCAATACATATCGGCGATAGACTTACTGACAAAACGAATAAGTCAATTTATTAAAAACAATGAAGACAAAACTTCGTTGTCGGATAGATCAGGAGTATATAAGCTGACTTGTGGCTCTTTCCCAAAACTGTATTTTGGCCAAACAGGGAAAACATTTTACCAAAGAATTAATTAGAATTGAGGTAGTTTTGTGAATAGAAAGACCAAATCCACATTCGCAAAACAGCTTTTAGCATTAGCATTACATTTAGAAGAAAGAAGTTTGAAACCCAATCTTCTAGAATATTAGGAAATCAGTAAATTTAAGAATTCGATAATTTGCTGAATTGCTAAATAGGAGTGAGTAGCTCCCCGTTACTAAATATTTTTTCAAACTGGTACATGAACTCAGGTAATTTGATTCATTACAAATTCAGGTACACATAAAACATTAAAGGCTAAGTAAAACTCAGGTACTTGAAATTTAGGTACGAGTACTTCAAATCGTAAAATTGGGTATAAAAAGCATTGAATATGTAGTAAATTGAATTTATGAAATTTTGCATATAAAAATAAATATGTACCGTTTGGTGACGTTTCAAAGACTTTTATCTAACCTATTTGAATAAAAAAATTATAATTTGTACTTTTGATTTGTCTTTTGATGATAATCAATTTTACATTATAGACACTGATAATATCAAATTGATCGTAGGTTTGATAATGAAGATGGATAAAGTCTTCGAAACGGTGACATACCTGACTAATTTTGACTTATGACATTTAGCCTAGTTGAGGAGCTCCGCTTTCAACGTGGTTGATTCGAACGGAATAGCTTTCATTTGTAACCACTCGGTAATATCTGCCTTCCTTCCACACGATGTCGGCTGCTTCTAAAATCGTCTGCTGTGGTAACTTACATCATCCATTACTCCTACGGATCCCTGCAGAAATTTTACAAGTATGTTTTTGAACCATTCTTCGAATACTGTGGTATCCGTTTCTTGATGATAAACCCCAATTTTTTTCGATTCAGACATTTTTCAGGAATCCCTCATTGCTGCATATGTGAGTATGCAGAGTATGCATTTCCAAATGGAATTTTCAAACCAGTGGACCAATCTCCATGAAGGCTTATCTTTCACTTTTGATGTTGTGATTTTGCCAAACCTTCGAGACGGTATGTCCTCCATTGCCCCATGTTTCATCCAAATAAAAATTGATTTACTCAGTGCTCTGGCTTTCTTTATTTCTCTTAAATAATTTCTTCTCCATTCAAAAATCTTTGATTTTTCTATTAACATGCTCCTTCTATCGTGTTTTCCAAAAGAGACGTTCAGCTCTTGTAATATCTTCCATAATTTAGTTCTTTTTATTTCAGAAAAAAAACTGTCTTCACGAGTAACTGACAAAAATAATATAGGTATTTCGTTTTTCATGTAAAAAAGTGTATTGTGCTCCTAATAAAATTATTGACTTCTTCGTCGATAACCAAACACTTTATGCTAGTGAATACTTTCGGCTCCAAAAAGTTGTTGTTTTTCTTGAAATCCTTAATAATTCTAAAAATTGTGGATCTATTGACACCGGTCATACTCGTGCATTTTTGCACTACATCCTCCATACGTTTTACTTCGGGTGGATATTATATTCTAAAAGAATTATAAACATTCATAACAATTGTTTTTTTCATTTATATTTAGCCTAACAACTAGATTCCATGTTGTAATTTTTATTCAACTCGCTCTCGAAGTACACTGAAGAATATCACGACTAACCCCTCTACGCCTTTAAACTCCCAACAGAAAATAATGTAATAATTGTTGTGTCTGTTGACGATATAGTTCAAAGAAATATCTATTAATACCGCCTTCAAAAAACAATGTTTTTTTAATCCCCTTCAACTAAATATTTATTTGTTGGAAAATGTCTTGGTTACTGCTGGACATATTTCCACATTTATTATAATTGATTTGTTAATTGGTTTATTATGAATGATATTTTTCAAAAATAAATTCTGTGTATTCATTTATTAAATTCGTTGAGAATGAATGATTTGAATGCAGTACGGCTATGGCACTAATTCCAGCGTATAAGGAAGTTCTGTTTAGCGACTCGCCCTTCCGAAGGCTCTAACTACATACCGTATTGAGACTTTAGTTTGTCCAGAAATGAGGAAAACGGTGTCTAGTTGGAGCCTTCGGAAGGGAGAGTCGCTTAACAGAACTTCTTTACACGCTGGAATCCGTATTCATTACAAAACATTTCTTAATTCATTTGACACTCTTAAGGATTATATAAAACACTTCTAAAGATCATTTGACTTCTATGAACTTGTTTGAAAACTGGTTCATTATTTATGAAATTTAAATTTCTCATATCATTGGAAATATACCTATTCAACATCACTCAAGAATGAAAAATAATGGAAAATATTCACTTTTCATTTGAAGAAATTGACTAAATATTGAAACAAGTTTTTTTATGGAAGTCTTGTAGTTTTATTTATAGTTTTTCCATTTTTTCGTTAATTCGCAATCTCTCTTTATATAAAGAAGAATAAAGAAGGTATAATTCGAATCACTAGTATTTCATTTATAAAAATATTGTTGCTGTTTCCTTTGATAATGAAGAGGTTAAGAGATCATCGATTATTTTATATAAATGGATCGTAGGCAATAATTCGTTGTGTTTGAGTTTGTTGGGTTGATTAGAATACTTGAGGATTTGTTGATATCGTTGATATTTGCGTGTGGCTGTTCTGAGTGCAACAGTGAGTAATAGATATAGTAGAAAAAAGCAGAGTCTGTTTTATGCTATTTTTATTTGATGATGATCTGGGATAGTAGTGAATACATCAAGGCAATACTATTATTGTGGTCGATCTTTGTATGTAATATTTCTGGAAACGACGGTGAGTAATAGACATATTTTGGAATATAACTGCATTTTCAAGAACGTTTCTTTGATTTTTTCAGCTTCACTAGAGTTTATGCCAAACTCTAACCAATAAGAAAAAGACAATGTAGAAGTTATTTTCATTTCAAGAAGTCTCAGTTGTGTTGTCGTTGTGAATATGATAATTTAAAAAAAGAATTATGTTTAACGGATTTATTGAAAAAAAATAACAATGATGTGGGTAATGTACTAAAAACTGCAAAATAATCCAGAAGGTCCTAGGTAGCAGTCATCACACCAGTATCCTCAGCAAGCTACGGTATTATTTAGATAAAAAATAATAGAATCGTTGGACGTAGCGTAACCTGAGTAAATATGTAAATACAACGCAACGATTCTATTACTTTTTCATCTGATCAATACCGTAGATTGCTGAGTAGAGTGGTGTGATGACTGCTACCTAGGACCGTCCGAACTATTTTGTAGTTTCTACTACATTATCTACATCATTATTTTCCCTTTTTTCAATAAAACCGTTTGACATAAAAATATTTCGTTGCTTATTTTGTTTTCAAGTTTCTAGTTTCTAATTTTGTTACTCAATTCTCCTCATTCTGTTCATTTAATGCCTCGGTATTACAATGTAATATGTAATCCGCCATTTTGTAGCTGCGGTCATCTTGAATTTGCATATTTTTTAAAGTGTACTACTATTCTACTAGTCAAGACCTGTCATTTGATACCCATTTCGAAGTAGTTCTGAAAAAATGTGTAGTCTGCCATTCTGAAGCTACAACCATCTTGGATTTACAATGATACATAATTTATTTGATTGTATTATAATCGAAACTAAATGTGTGTACTAAATTTCACATCAATCTGTCAACAGAAAGGGAGTCAAACTTCAATTACTAAACTTGATCTAAACAAATAAATAAACAAACAAGCAGGGCAAGCTCAATAAAACCGTTCAAAAACGTCATATATCTCATTGAAATGTTTGTAATGTGCGAACCATTTAAAAAACGATATTTACTATTGGACATTTTGGAAAATGTATTTCTGAAACAATTCAAAATAAACCACGTTAGCATCATCAAGAGATAATTAGAATCATTTTCATCGGAATGAACTTTCAATTTGGTAATACAGGTTATACCTGAATGACTTCTCAGTTCTAATTATTACGTTGATTCATTATCTGTATCTCAACTTCTAATTATTGGTGGACAGTCTGATTCTAATTTTGCTTCCATTTCAAATTTGCTTATAAACAAATCAATCGTGTTAGAAAGCTCATTGATCTTCAGAGGAGATGCTTTCAAACAACAAGGCAATAGATTTCATTAAATCTCTCCTTTTCGCAACTTCAATCTCAATCTGTTGCGTTCATATTATGCTATATTAAAGTATTGACATAACAGACATAACAGAGGTGGGCGCAAAGTCGTTAAGTTGCAAACCAGGTAAACTGGGCACGAACAATTAAGGAATCTTTTATTCACACAGGTTTTCTGAGGCTGATACCTAACATATGATTTCAATGGCAATTATTCATTTGAATAATAATTAGCGCCCCATTTCAATGGGATATAACACTCATTACCAAAGAGAATGCCTAATGGACTATCAGAATACCCTCTCAGAATTTTTATTAATGATGTCGTCATGATGTTGATTAATTTTGAAAAATGTTACAGTTTTATTTGAATAAGTGAAGCATAAGTCAAGTAAGTTTCAGATACATATCGAAATGTAAACATAGGAGGGCGTATTGCATCTTGAGAGTGTATGAGCACTTTCTAAATCTACCGTTTTTTCCAGTGTCATGGAGTAATGGGTATCAATCATGTTTCGTCTAGATGTTTCTGTTGCCGATAACAGAAAGTATGTGATATGCTTCTTGATTCCTTAATAGTTTATCGTTTGTTAATCGATCCATATTCAAAACAAACATGTTCCAAGTACACGTAGGTATATTAAGAGAAATATTGCATTTATCTAGCACTGAACATACATACATATAAGGATTTCATAATACGTTCTATATATCTCCCTTCGTAATATATCTCCCTACCATGGATTGGAATTGTTCACTACTTTCCATACAATTGCCTTCGGTACCTTTGTTTATCGAAATGTCAATAACAGCGCCTGCCTTACGAAAACCACCATTCGTCAAACATTTAATTTCAATTCCACCCTCTGAAAATTAATCAAAATTCAATGGTCTGTACTCTCCACATACTCACTTTCGAAAACACGTAGCATTACTGCTACAAAATCAGATTGACGAATTTGTTTTCAACCTTGCGACATTATTTGCATTACCTATCGTTTTTCTTTAAAGATAATTGAGTTTTCTATGGAATGTTCAGTTTATAATATTTTCACAATTGAAGATTATTCAAAATCCAAAATGATAAATACAAATTACATTATTCACCGATACCTTACCTGTGGCTTTGTTTGCAAATGACTAATTTTCTGTAGGTANCATTTGTCGATTTGAAAATTGGAACTGAAAATTTTTGATTGACTTTGTTCACTTCAACTCAGAACTAACGCAAATAACCATATAACTTTTAATATGACTAGTCTATATATACAAGAATTTCAATATTCAACTTTCAGGAAATGTGTCATAAACTATTCAAGAAATGTACCTATTCTGTTCGTTCAGATAGTGTCTTGAAGACTCAAGAATTCATACAGTATCCTAACTCTTTTCTTGATTTAGAGCAAGAACGTACCATTTGTGCCCAGTTGGAATGACCAACTCTTGATTTTCTGGGGCGAGGGGACAAGTTAGTTCTAAATTTTTTCATGAAAATGCAATTATTAGTGCTAATAACCAAATTAAAAGTTCTCATTCGGACACCCTCTACAGAAATTTCCAAAAACACTGTACCCCTTTTCAACACTTGTCACTGTAGACTAAGTAATGATGCACTGTTTGGAACCTTTGGTGTAGTAATTGAATATTACTGAAGTTTTTTGTCAACACCAAACCATCATTTTCATCAACTCGACACGTTTTTCAATCACCAAGTGACCATCTTTAAGAGGAAGATCTTTTGATCTTCACTGTAGACCAACTTAATTACACTGGGATCGGAGACGCTTCAAGCGAACCAATGAAAGAAGGAATACAGTTCATTTGAGAGTTTCATGAGGGTTTTGCAACCCTAATGTTAAAACGAATGAAGGATTAAAAATAATGAATAATCATTGTTGAATATAAACTGTCACCGTACAAAGGAATCAGAGTTTCAAAGTTCTGAAATTTCTACTCTTTCCGAAAGTTGCTTCAATAGAAAAAGCAACAAAATACAGGGTGTCTATTTCCAGAAACCATCAAGGAAACTCATAGCTTTTGTTTTACTCTCCTGCAACTAGACTCCTCTGATTCTCTTGACATCCGGGACAGTCTCCAGCAGTAGCCACCTCGGACCTGTGTGTTATAAATATTACTGGATTTTTTCCCAACACCAAACACTTATTTTAATACTTCAACACGTGTTTCGATCACGAAGTGATCATCTTCAANTATATATATCAAAAACTACTATCGTAGTTTTTTTTCTTCCCTTTTGATTATGTTTTTCCGTTAATCAGCTGCCGCCCCCATACAAACGACAACTCTCAGAAGTTGAGAAACGTGTGCGAGCTAAGGACTAACGAGGTCTTACCTTTTAACGTGTGATTCCTAACACGGTAGGTTAGGAATGGTAGACCTAACACGGTCTACCAACCAATATTATTTTTGAAATAGGTATTCATTCAAATTCAATTTAAAAATTTCAAGATTTTTTCTTCGTAAAATGACACTTCATATCATGTTGATGAGTCCAAACATGCTCTGCTATTCCTGATTTGCTGGTTTCTCCTCGATGTTGTGTTTCTTGTGCTCGGCAATTCGAACTTTCAATGGCCTCTTAGTTTCACCGCACTCTTTCGCTAATGCCGCAATCTCTTTCTGATTTATAGTTCACTATTTTTCAAGAGAGTATAGATCCATTTTTGTTTTTTTTTTCTATACAACCGCTGTTCAGGAATGGAGTTGTTCAAAAAAACACCAAAATAGCAGGTTTCAATTCGTTACATTACTGTCGTTTTTTATTGATGCTTTTCTCAAAGTTTATTCAGTTTTTTCTAGTCCCCTTGTTGCAAATTGATTATTGGTAGATTTAAACAATATGAGATTGATTTTTAAATCTATCTATATTCAAAAACTACCAGATCTCTTACTAATCTAGTTTTTTGAGTTCCTATAATATTTATATAACTGGATAAAACTTACAAAAAGTTCATAATTGTAGTTCATACTTTATTTTTGGAAATTTTCAAATTGTTCTATTGGAATCCGGATTCGTAACAATATAGCAAAATATTTTTAAAGAAAAATAGAAAATTGAATAGTGAAAAAGCTACAACTGATATATTTTCAGATTTCATAATTGACACAGATGAATGTCAAATTCCGAATTTTCCTGCCTTTAGTCAAGAATCCCTTTCCAGCTACGTTCTTTTAGACTACGTTCGTTGTTCTACTTTGGATCCATTGACTCGGACTATCGTGGAAAACAATACTGCGTTTTTACATTTAAGAACCGAGGTTCTTGACCAATATTATAAATCAAAAGATGAAATTGATTGTTGCTATAGTTATGTTACTAGAAATGGGACGAACGAGGAGCCAGATATTGGTATTAGGTAAGTGACACCACAAAAATTGCTGATATAGAATGTAGGGCCTCCACGATAAAAATTACCTGAACTAAACATATTTTTCTTGGAGATGCATGGACACTACATGAAAATAAAATTCTCAAAACGATCTAATTTTCATTCAGTACCTGCAGTGAAATTCAATTTGATAGTCGTTGTCGAAATTAGGATTTCTAACAAGAAATTATGTGTTTCATCAGTTCAAACTTCCATTGTCTAATATAATATAAACTGATTTGAAATCCGTGAAAGAATCTGTAAAAAATTAAAAAAGATCAACCGAAAAATAACAATTTTATTAACCACCTTCAAACAAACGGAAATTATGTCATTCTACTTGAATTGAAAGGAAGTGAAATTCATCTTCATGTCTATTGAAATTGTGTGGTATCTTGAGAATTTTTTGATGCACCCTTCAATACAAAACTTACGTATTAACTGACTAATATTATCCAAGTTTTTGTTCACACACCTTATCATTCCAACAATCTGTTGAATCAGGACGTAACATGTTCTGTGTATCGATATCCGAAGTCATATAAATCAACTTCCGGAGTATGAATGTATGGCTATCTGCTCATGTTATATTAGTCAGTTGATGAAATTGTTGATGCTTTTTTGTCTATGAAAGCATATCTGAGCACGAAACATATCTAACTTTAACTCCAGAAACTTCCATGTATTCTGTTATTTGGAATTCCACCCCCATTTGTGCGGCCAAGACTCATATCTTGATCGGCAAGTCGGCATTATCTCAATATTTGAGAGTTCAGAGAGCATCATTCCACAAAGGACTTCGATAATCATAACGTTAGCGTTCAATGAAGTAATCAACCAAACTCAAAATACTTTAAATGTTTTTAATGAAAAGTTGTTATTCTTTTTCAGCTTCTCGAGTTGTAATTACTTCAATTCCACTGTTACTCTTGAAGAGCACACTGTGATAGTTAAATGCTACATTGGTGCGGATAAGATATACGAAAATGTACACAGACCAATGGTTGTAACGAAGGCAGTTAAGGAAAAACTTTTTAATCGATCTGAGGCAAAAAAACTATCCAAGAAGAAACACCTCAGTGTTCTTCTGATTGTGGTTGATAGTATATCTAGGTTGAACCTGGCAAGAACAATGCGTTCAACAAAAAAATTTTTACAGGACAATGATTTTGTAGAATTCGTTGGCTACAATAAAATAGATGACAATACTTTTCCAAACTTCAATGCCCTGCTAACCGGCCTGAATCAAAGTCAATCTTACTCAATTTGTAAACCAACCATTGTGGGTGGGTTGGACCAGTGTCCTATGATATGGTACAACTTTCGAGACAAAGGATATGTTACCGCTTATGCTGAAGATTTCGCTACGATATCCACATACAATTATAGAAAGAAAGGATTCAAAAATCCTCCGACTGATTATTACTTCAAACCGTACATGGCAGCTTCCGACACCCTATCTACACTGGCAGTAGATAGTATGCCTTATTGCAGTGGACCTGAATCTCAAGGTGAGATTTATGAATAATAATAATAATAATAGAAATAATCGATAATACCACATTTCTATTTCGAAACTGAATTGAAGGGAGCTTTGCTGGAAATGTATCATATTTATTTGGATTATTTTCAATAGAAATTATGCATCATTTATAATTACTACAACAGGTGATTTTTGGAGCATTTTAAATTATCTAAAAGAACACCAAAGACACCTATCAGAAAACAACTATTTCCCTGGCTAGTACGACGAAGAGCGTTGGATTAAATTCGACAGGTGTTAGTGCAGGATTCTTCACTGAAGTTATTTCTGCATATGCTGTTGGCGATACAACTGTTGGAATCGATTTTCAATAACTGGAACACACTTGCAGACCGGTTTCCTTATACGAAGAATTGAGCAAATTTTGGATATGCGGTCGACAAACATGTTGTTAGTTGTTTGCTTCTGCCTAGTTCGAAGAATGATACTTTGAAGGAATTCTATTCTCAATTATCGGAAATCATCGACTTTATGTTGATGATAGAAACTACCTTGCACTGAAGAGTGGACAAACAGCCCGAAACCAGTCTGCAAATGTATTCCGATAATTGAAAATTGATTCCGGCAGTTGTATCGCCAAGAGCATAAGAATTCTGCACTGACACCTGTCAGATATAATCCAACGCCATTCGTGATATTAGCCAGGAAAGTAATAGTTTTCTGATAGGTGTCAGTACATTAACCTACAGTGTAGGTAATTTGAGACTGGCCTGAACTCATTGAAATTGGAGCATTTTGAAATGAAGGTAATTTAAGCAAATCAGCAGTGAATGATTCTGTTTATTAGCAGGGAATTTATGTAAATATAGCCACATATAATTGGAGCATTAATTGAAAAAGGAAAAACTCTACTGGAATCGATCTAGTCGCCCCGTATCGCCAATTAATTTTTGATGTTTCATATTTTCATAATTTGTGTTGCTTTTTTTATATATTTCTATAATAAAAAATTCTTTTCATTGAGCAGTGTCATCGAAAAACTATAAACCCCAGTTAACTTCTGCATTATGTCTTACGATGTTTGAAATAGCAGCTTTCTCTGTTATCATTTCTGTTCTGAATGTTCTAGTTGAAAATACCTTCACCTGAATTGCCAAACGATCTTTCAATTTCAATATACTATAAGAGTTACATGAACATTCAGTATGAAATATCTTGTGCACAAACTTCCATGTTTGCTAGATTTGTTGTGATGTAGATTTTTTTAATGAATTGCGAAAATTAATTGGGGAACAGTAGCGATGTGACAGTTGCGTGAAGTCAGTTGCGAAAGTGAATTGCGATAGAGAAGTTGCGAAAGTCAGTTGAAAAGTCAGTTGCGAAAAGATTCCTTTGCGATCGAGAGTTAAAATGGGAGATTTTGCGATAGTGGAATTACGGTCAGTGAGTTAATTGTTGTTTCCTTTGGTGACACTTAGAACGGATCAGTATTTCACACGGATACCGTACCGGAGAGGGAAGGGAGAACAGAACCCAGTATAGTATCATGAGTTAATTTGGATTTTTTACTAACCCCCATGTCGGTATAGAGAAAGAGGATGTCATTTTAATTTTGTAATAATTGTCTTATTGTTGTTTCGTCTTGGGGACGATATAAGAAGGGCAATAAATTACACTACACCCCTTTCATATGTGTAAATATCTGCAATTAGTACAGACGGGCTTGAAACTGAAAAATAGTACGGCGGCCAGGCAATTTCAAATAATCAGTAATTAAGGTTTTCGCGTATGAGGGAATATATAATATTTCACAAGTTGATAAAGAGATAATTTTTGTTTGACAATCAGCTATTTGAGCCGGGCTTTCTTGTAAAATTTTGATCTCACTTTTCGAACATTTTTGCTTGATGTTTTGTTGGACTTTTATATTATATTTTATACAGTTATTTGTTATGATTTGTAAACATACCCGTTTATTCTTTTTATTGGTTTTGTAATATAAGCCTAATCGGAAGCTTGTTTTTTTTTATTTAAAAGAACAAAACACCGCATCAACCACTGGAATTATTAGCGGTTACAGTAGGTACATTGAATTTTGTTAGAGATGCCAACATTTTCCAAAAAACTATAAAGGGAAGTAAAGTTCGTAACATCCAATGCATTGGTGAGGTCGCTTGGTAATACAAAAAATGGTCTTTCTTCATTGAAAGCTGGGCAATCAGAGATGAAATGTTCAACACTCATCGTCACACTGCAGGTATCACAAATGCGAGGCTCTTCATGCTTTAGGAGATGTAGATTGAGGTTGACTGTTCGAAACTGAATTAGAGTTTTGTTCACTTTGAGTATCCCTGTAGTAAGAGATGCTCTCCGTGTTAGTATCACCCATGATGGGAATTATTTCTTCTACGGTGGTTGACAGGACTCGACTAGCATTCCTTATGCCTGAATACGGGTCTGAGATTTATATTCGGTGATAAGAAACTAGCTTACCAGCGAGAAAAAAAACAGAACACTTCTTTCACTATTGATATCAATATACGTTAAGGACGACCGATCTTCACTCGGCGACGACCAGAACGAGACTCTTGTTATTTTTTTTGATGGCTTACTATTCGAGCAAGTCCCTCACAGTGTAGTAGCAAGTCAGTGTAGTTGAAAGGCCTTTAGCCTTAAGTATTAGCCTCCTGCCTCGTTCCGGAGTGGATCTTAGAAGGAGAACAATCTCAAAAAAAGGTACACGGTGTAGTTAGGTCCTCTTGCGATCGGCACGAACCTTACAGCTTTTTCAGACCTGCCAAATTAATTTCAGAAAATAAATGAATCAGAAATGAGCATGTATTACACTGAAAACGGTCGGTATATTTAATAATAATAGATGAAACCATATACACAAATACATCGGTTATATTACACAAGTGTATGAGAAAATGAATTTTTCGAAATAGAATTTCGAAACATTCATCTCTCCCAACTACCAAACCAGCAGGTTCTGGTAAATGTCTACCGAAAAACAACCACTTTTCCGACTAATACTACCTCCCTGTAAATTTATTTCAGGAGCGAGTCTACAGAGGAGATGGGTGTCGAGTTTACGACTCCAACTGACCTCCCTGTTAATTTAGTTCGGGATCTAAAGATTCTCAACTGCCCAACTCCTGATCCAATAGCTGAGTCGTCTCCTCAAAAGCGGGGTACCTTATAAAACCGCCTTGCACCAAATTTTCGAGCGGCGTACGCAGAATCTGTCTGAGGTGGAAAAACAAACCCCCAATGAGCATGTTAGCAAAAGTTTGCGCTCAAGTGACATAAAAGCTTGGCAAGTTGACTTGGGTGTTACACCAATAGGTGGTCCACTCATGTCTCGCTTGCGTTTACGCAGTTATTTTTTTTTTTGCCTTCCATTGTGCAAACAGGAGGCAAAAATGTACCTACAGCAATACAATAGTCCATAACTGTTATTGCCTCTCCTTTTTCAGAGGATGTCATTGTGGATACAGATTCATAGCAATCGAGCGCGCCAAGACATCATTGATCGTTGAAGAAAAATATTTCATTTGGATAGTTTTGATTTGGCCTGCAAGCTTCTTTTCAGTATTTCCATAAAAAAGGATCATGGTCTATAGGTCCTGTTTCATCATTATTGTTTTCAAAACGTCTCTATCAGGTTTTTTTGGAGTAACATAGCCTTTAGTTGCTGCATAAACTGTCATTTCACCATTTTTTAAAACGTTTATTGCAGCCTTCAAGTACTCTTCACGCCAATCCCCTCTGATAGACAATGCTTTCCTATGGTACTTGTTTGACATCTGCAATTGAAACAAGTAATATTAAAAAAGCTCAAATAAGAATAAAATTGTTACCGAAGAGGTTGGTGAATTACAATGGTTTCAATCTTTTATAATCTAGAATCTAATGAAGGGACTCAATAGGATAAAATAATTTTTTGTTGAATATATATGTGCATTTAAAAAAAAAGCTGTCATTGCAAGTCACCACCGCATTGGTTTTCATAGATATGTAGGCGTCTTGAAATGCACACCATGCACACCATAAAATATATAACTGACTGAAAAATTGCAGGGAAATATTTTGAAATGAAAAAAATGTGAATTGAATCAGGGAAATGGTTAATATTCAGAAAAAAAGACTAAATACTTTTTTTAGTAATTTTTATAAAATTAATTTAACTTTTTAAATCAATGAAACATCATCTGGCACTTGGGGGGGAAATATAAACATTTTAAATTTCAGTACTAGGTCAGAGGAAAACACAATGGAAGGTGTTACCTGCAAGAAATTCCCTAGAAAATTCTTTTGTTGTTTTCAATTCTACTATAACGAAGTCATCTTCTGAGAGCTCTTTGGAGTTGGATTCTTCAATCTTATCCATTTCTTTAGATGCTTCTTGTGCCTCTTGAAGCTGCTCTTGAATCAATTCAACGTCTGAGTATTATTCGATTTATTGTTTTCCTTATCACTTTCCACTTGGTCCGATGTTTTTTTTTTCGTACTGCAGCCTTAGAAATAGACAATAATGTATCATCATCGGATGTTTCCTTGTCCTGAATAATTGCCTTAAGATTTTTCTTTTGTTTTTGCGTTTGCTAATTGTATATTTTTCTTTAGATGCAGACACCATAATATCCAAGGCAGTTAACAATTTGGCCTGGTTCGAAATTTATCTTCTTCCCTCTCACAGTTATATCGCCTTTCTTATGTTTTGTTTCAATAAGAATGTCTTCAAGAACATTCATCGCATTCAACTGGGCATGTTCAGGTTCAACATATTTTAGCAATTTGCATAGATTTTTTATTCTATTCAGTGGCACTAACCCAGTTGACCTAAATCCTGACTTTCTATTTTCCACAGAAGAAGCTCAAACTTTTTGAATTATTTGTCTCAATAAAAACGGAAAAATAACTTGTCTGATGACACCTTTGTGAGTTCTCTTCCATTCTTTCAAGACATACCTCCAGGCTACTTTTATTGGTTTGAAGCAACTCACGTTCAAAGGTTGGCATAGATGAGTAGAATTTGGTGGTAAGAGAATGAAATTTATGTCATTTGCTTGGCATGCAATAATAACTTTTAGTGTCCCTAGCTAGATTTTCGCTGATGAAAACTTTTGGTCCGCGCGGCAACTTTTTGAAATAATCCAGACAAATTGTTATGAACTAGTATTCAAATAAATTTTGACCGAACCATGCTGACTTACTCCTGTTATATCTGGCTCCATTTGGTCCACGCTCTGTTCAAGTTTGGCACATATGATCTGCCTGATATACAATATAAAAGGGACACATTACCCCGAGGCAGCAACTTCGAACATCACGGATGTTGCTGATTTACAAGTGTCCATAATTTTTTCGGCTCTCTTGAATCTTCATCGCACAATAACTTTACTCGTGCCGGAATCATCGCAAAAATTTGTCTCATCGTAATTCACTATACCATCTGATTGAATGCCATTCACATCAACGCCCAGTTTATTTAATTATTTATTGATGATACTGAGTCTTATTACTGCACGAGTGGCTTTGGTACACTGTGAGAACGTAAAGGACAATCCTGGTAGCCGCTTCGAAGAAAAAAATTCCACCACTGCTCGCCAGGTTTGTTTTCAGTAAAAATTGGAATGCGTCTACCCATTCTACTGAGATAAGATTGAACAAAAACCTTAACATCTTCTGGTTCAAAGAGATAACCCCACTCTGCAGCAATTACTAAAGCTTCCTCTATAGCCCTCTCACCCTCTTTGAACAAATGAGTTTGTCCACCAGGTTTTTTGGGATGTTTAACTTTTATATTGCGGAAAATTGTAGAAGCAGATGTTCTCCTTCATAATTCACACATGGTCTGGATCCAATCTTCCTTTCATATGTATATTTTGGTTCAAGTGACCTCTGTTTTTTATGTTCATGATATCGAAAGCTGTTTCAAGGATAATAATCTCTAGGCCAGTGTTTCCCAGTGTGGCGTACCACTTTACAAGTCAAAATTATTTTACGTACCACTTAATCTCGTGGGGGTAAATATGGATGGAATATGTACATTATTTATTATTTTGCTAACCTTACTAACCTATTTTCCAACGATGAGTATGAAAAATAAAATTCTGTGTAGTGTTATAATACTTTATTAATTATATGAACAAGGCATTCATAAATATAAAACGCATTACACTGTAAGAAAAATACAACAAAAATATAATACAATACTTCAATGAGAAGGCTGATTTTGATGATTAGAATCCGATTTGGCAATGTCTGGCTTAATATTGCTCAATCTTAAACGTCTTAAACGTCTTAAACTAATAAGTCTATTCCGATACTTGTTTTTCAGGTATACCTTCGCACAAGTAGAAAGTTGTGGATGGAATTAAAAACTTCACTGCTTTGACAGCTATTTGTGCGTAGTCCGCACGCCTTTCAACCCAGAAGTCAACAAGCAACATTTTTGAAAACTTTTGCTGTAGTTCCGAGTCAGAATTCAGTTCATACAACTATTCCTTTTCTGTCGCAGTAAAGTTTTCTGGCGCCATTTCTATATCAGCAAACGGGTTTTGGGTCCAGGAATATTCAGGAAAATATATGTTGTAGCTTTGAATCAAACCGAGACAGTGTTTTTTGATGTCCGTCAGAAGTGCAGGACTCAATTTTGAGGTCATTTTCTTCGACGAAATTCCCAAGCGTTGGAAACAACGATATCTTTTTCAGTTCTGCTTCTTTTGCTATTTGATTCAGTTTCTTTTTCATATCACTTACTTTATCATGAACCCGAAAAGGAGTGTTATAATTTCCTTGCAGGGTTTGGTTGAGCTCATTGAGCTTTGAAAATATCTCTGCCAAATACGCCAAGGATCATAGTCACAGTTCATCTGTAAAGCAGTTTTCAAAAGTTTTTGGCAGGCAAAAACACGAAAACTTCATGGCCCATCTCAAAAAAACGTGTCGATACTTTCTCTCTTGACAACCACCTGATCTCTGTGTGCAGCAACAGCTGTCTGTGCAAACCACCCATATCATCACATAATATCGCAAACAAACAGGACTGTGAAGCACGTGCCTTGATAAAATTTACTGTTTTTACAGCTTGGCTCAAAACCTCCTTCAAGCTGTCAGGGTAATTTTTGCTTACTATAGCTTCTCGATGCAAACAACAGTACGTGAATGTTGCTTGGGCAGCCACTTGTTTCACTTTAGCCACAACTCCAGCGTGACGCCCGACCATCGCAGCGGCTCCATCGGTACAAAGTCCCACACACTTGTTCTAATACAGAATCCAGATCACACCAGGCTCAAGCTCAAGCTCAGGCCTGAAGGAAATCAAGATGACGAGCAGGCAATCCAGATCATGCTTATTCATAAAACACTGCTTTAGCCGACAGTATACCAAGTCAAAAAATGAATTTAACTCACAATAACATTCCTTAGGTTGGTCTGTACAAATGGAAGTATTCACCTTTTTAGGTATGCATATTCAAGGAATAGCCAGAAAATGGTTCTTCGACTACTCTCCGACAGATGTCAGTAGAAGTATCAATGAAATTGTGTAGAAGGTTTCAAGAGACCCGAGTGACTTCAAGTCACCACTTGTTACGGTACATCTAATTTCGTTCAGGGTGTGATGCCATACGGTCATCTAACTCCAAAAATACGTGACCATCTCTCCTAATCTTTCGGGAGTGATAGCCACACGAATCAAGTGATATGATTCACAAAAATTGTAGATATTTTCAGGTTATGTTGAAACATGGCTAATAACCGAATCCGAAAACAGACAATTTTTCAAAAACTACAAAACCGCAACATACCAACAAATACCTTATCTAATTTTTACACTATACAATAGAAATTCAACGGTTTTACTTACTTTTTGCATTTAATTCGCAAATATTTTTGCACGCAAGGTCATCGTACGCACGATTCGAAGCGAACTTGGTGATTATTAGCACCATCTAACGAATATTTCATATATTTTTCTATTGGCTATCTCTCTCTTACAGCCACCATTCCCTGACTATAACCCTATATACTTTTTCTTTCGTGAAAACTTTCATTAATTCCATTTTAATTTTATGTCTGCTTACAGACATAAGATTATACCTTAGTATATGTTCATTATCTTATACTTTTTTATAACTATCCTCTTATAATCTGTAGAAAGTCTTGGAATTGTTTCAATACAGTCATTTAGGCACTACTTTGTAATTAGCATAACAATAAGTAATTTCAATATATTTTCATTTCAGGTGAAAGAATCCTCAATTTAGCTGGAGATTTTTCCAAAACATTCAAAAATCAACCCTACTTTGGAATATTCTGGATGAATACTTTCAGCCACAATTATATCAATTCTCCAGGAAGAATGGATAACAAAATGACAAACTTTTTCAAAGATCTCAAACAACATGGCGTTCTTAACGACAGTATGGTAATTTTCCTAAGTGATCATGGCATCCGCTTTGGTGTTATCCGTCAAACGATTCAAGGATGGTATGAAGAACGGCTTCCATTCAATCTAATATCTGTACCTTTGTGGTTCCAAAGAGAGTACCCTGAGAAGTATAAGAACTTTATACAAAATGCCCAGAAACTCACTAGTACCTATGACTTATTTCTGACCCTTCAAGAAGTGTTGTCATTGTCTGTTGACGATTATGTTATCAGCAACAGCAAGGCTTGTCGATCATGTCAGTCTCTTTTTTCCCACATTTCTGAGAAGCGAAATTGTAGGCAGGCTGGTATTGGTGAGAAGTGGTGTACTTGTTTGGGTAAATTTCACAAAAATGATAATGAAATAACATCTGACATGAAAGAAACAGCATTAAAACTTTTCATGCAGTCGGGTAACTTCCAAGGATTCACTATTGAAAATATTTTAAAATCAAGTATAAGCCGAGGGCCTAGACGGAAAAAATATTTGTTACTGATGTTCAAACGAGATTTCGACATCCCATACCAGGCATTATACAGAATAGGTGGAAACTCAACAGACGCTATGAAGTTGATACACTTAGTGAGACTATGGTGAAATTGTTATATAAAAGGTGACAACGAAATAATTGCACAAGCCGTCATTCAGTTGTTTGTGGGTTGGGAAATTCGAAATTCACAACAAAGGTAGAGTTCACTCCACTCGGTATTTCTACCAAATAAATCACGAGAATAGTAATACTATTGGCTGGTAGTGCCTGCGCACCCTTCGAATGTGCCGCCTGGAACTAACTACCGCAACCATCAAGGTGAAAAAATATTGATTACAATAATAATAAAAACGCGGTCCTAAGATTGCTTTATTATCACCTTCTTCACTCCTACTGTATTGACAAGACATCGATGTAGCGTTATGCTCCGGGGATTTTGAATCCATTGCGGAAAATGAGGGATGCCAAATTTATTGAAGCTAGTCATTTTCCAGCTCGAACTATCGAGATTTACCCTTTGAACTCCGCAGTCGCTACCCCGACCTCTTTGTTGAAATGATTGTTTTATCTCTTCATAAGATTATACCAGCTTGCCTCAAAACAGCAGAAATCTTAACCGGACAAATGCAGAAGGCAGTCATTCTTGGTTCGTTGCGTTTTCCCAGGACACACGCTCCGCTTTATTCGATTTTTGGACCCAATAACGGCATTCTTTACGGTTGTGAATATAGTACCTATTCATGTGATGCTGGTACGCCCTCCAAATGTTTCGAAGCTTTAGGTACAGAAATCTTTCATTGAGTGAAAATAATAATGATAGTTATTCACTACTATACAGAATGATGACATTTAAATAAATAAAATACACACAGGTATTGAACTACCCTCACAAGCAACAAATGTTGTTTGTATGTCATAACATAGAATGTAGTGTATATGGCAGTATGAAAATGATTATAAGCTCAACTAGGTATTGATAAGAAAACAATCATTACTGTTATTGTAGGTATAAAGTATATTGCAATAAATTTCCATTGTACTGATAATGGCCCCAAGTTGAGTATTTCGAATGGAAACCTGTATATTTTGGAGGAGTCCATTTGATAATACATGAAATTATATTTTGAAAATGACAGCGCAGGAGCAATTTTATGTGAATAATATGAAGATCACCCACGGATCTAATGAATTTTTGTCATGTTATATTTTGAAACGTCCTCTTTCCAACAAGCCTATCAATAGGAGATACTTATGTAAGCTTCAGGTCGCTTATCATCACACAGATTCCATTTTTGGTTACTAATGGTGACATGTACAATTATATTTGTTTGGAGGTGGTTGACAATGTTTCGTGGTGCATTTCATTAGTTCGGACTTTCATTGTCTGATATAATCTAAGATTAAACGACTTACCTGTAAGGAAGTTCAATCTTGATTATATGAAGAACCACTACATCATAGACCACCTTGTAGTTACGCCTCTGAGGCGGAAACCGACCACTAGTTTTTACCCGAATGAACGAAATATTCCATATCAATATACTTCGAATGCTCTGGTAATGTCGAAGAATATTGCAATAACTTGATGTTGGTTAGCAAATGCTTCGTGTATGTCGGATTGTAGGCTAATGAGGTTATCTATAGTGGAGCGTTGTTTACGAAAACCACTTTGATAGGGTGTAATCAAATTATTTTGATCAAGAAAAAAGGAAAGTCTGGCGTTGAGAATTTTTTCAAGAAGTTTACACAGAGTACAAGTCAGAGAAATGGGTCTATAAGACTGAGGATCAGATGGTTGTTTGTTTTCTTTGAGCAGAGGAAGTATAATCGCTTCTGACCAGTTAGTAGGATATGGACGAGTGAGAAAAATTATATTGAATATTTCAAGCATACTTTGTTTTCCTATCAGGGAAAGTTTCTTCAGAAAAACATATGGGATATCGTCAGGTCCAGGACTTGAGTTATTGACTTTGGAGAGTGCGTCTTCCATTTCATTCATTGTTATTCAAATGTCCAGATAATTCTCGCTGTCATCATCGATATGCAGGGGTATAGCTTCGACCAATTCTTCCATAGGTGAAAGTTTTTATCGCTGGAGAGTTGCTGAAATCTATCGGCCAATAAATTGGCGATTTCAATGTTTTCAGAGATAGAAGAACAGTTTGTTTCCAAGGACGAAATTCGAAAGTTTGTAGTTATTCCTTTTATGCGATTCACTTTTTGCCATACCTCTGACATGGGTGTAGAGTATTGAAGTGATGACACATAATTTTTCCACGACTTGCGTTTGCTCTGTTTTATCAAATACCGTTTTCGTGCTCTGAGTCTATTGAACTCCAGTTTATTTTCAGTGGAAAAATGTCGTTTCAACTTGTTGAATGCCCTTTTACTTTCCGTTGTCGCTTTTTGACATTCTGAATTCCACCAAGGCACTGGATGATCTCCATTGATTTTAGAGGTTTTACCTATGGCTAAAGTAGCAGCATTTGAAATGGTACTGGAAAATTCATGGACAAGGGAATCAATATCATTTTCATGGTGGGGTGATCTGTTAGGAAAACTCTTCACCAGTATACTTTGGAATATCTTCCAACTCGTATCATCCGCTTTCTTGAGTTTCCAGGAAGGGTGGAATATGTTGGATGAGTTTTGAGAAAAAATATGTTTGATGATGATAGGAAGATGATCACTATCATGTGAATCTTGAAGAACATTCCAAGAGAGCTTAGGAAATATTGAGGGGTGACATAAGGTCAAGTCAAGAGCTGAGTGGATGCCAGTGGTAATGTTAATCCTGGTAATGTCACCGGAGTTGAGCAGCACCAGATTCGATCTGCCGATGAATGTTTCCATCATACTACCACGCCGGTTAGTTGTGAAACAACCCCACATAGGGTTGAGAGCATTAAAATCACCGAGAATTATATGTGGATTTGGTAACTGATTTATTATTCTCTCTAAATCTTGAATATTCATATCGCTATCTGGTGGGTCATAGATATTACTTATGGAAATCCTCTGGGGGGATTCAACAATAAATGCGGTTGCTTCTAGATCTGTTGAAAGTGGAACTTGTAATGCTTTCAAGCATTCGTGTGCATAAATTGTTACACCACCAGAAGCAATCCTCGAATTTGTTCTAATTTTATGGAAAGAACTGTAGTTTTTTAGGTTGTATACTCGATCGGTTCTGAAATTCGTTTCTTGGAGACATATGATTGAAGGATTTTTATTTCTTATCAACAACTGAAGCATCTCTAGATGTGGGAATAACCCATTTATGTTCCACTGTAAAATGAAGAGTAATTGCTAATTGAGGGAGAAGAACTTCAGTAGGTGTCTTGAGACAGGTCACTGTCACCTTCAGAGACTGATACGTTGGAGTTAGTTTCCAGTTCTTGGTTCAGGCGTTTCAGGATTTTTTTCTTGAGTTTAGTGATTCTTGCCTTAATATTGCGAGCTGTCAAAAGTGATACATTTTGGTGAGGATGCCTAGTAGTCCATGAATATCATCCGTATATGTTCTTGCTATGTTAATAGGGTCAGAAGAACCGAATGAGTTTTCTAGGAAGCTGGTAATTTGACTGAAATCTAGGATGGGAGGAGGGCCATCCCCTTCAAAAAAACTCTTGGCTGGTGCTATGAGGCTCTCCAGCGATTCTAGAGGAGGCTGCGAATTTTTTTTTTGGTTTCTTTGGGATTTGAATATAGGGAGTGATGGAAGAAGGTCTTGCAGAAATGTCGGAATCGGTCGGGGGCTGGAGATTAATGAGATTGTACGCTTCTGAGAGGACGTATTAGGTGTTTCAGAAGTTTAATTGCTTTCAACTATAGAATTATCAGTGATTAGGTTAGAAACTTTGGTTTGACTGTGTTGTTCTTGAACCAGTTCTTGGCATGATGCGGCTACATGTCCGGTTTTTCTGCACTTGAAGCACGTGAGACTATCAATGGACAGGAAGATGCGGTAGGAAGTATTCTCGTGAGAGACAACAATCGAGTCAGGGATAGATAGGTTGTCATTGGGTTGGAGATAAACTTGTCTATGAAAACTCAGGATATGGCTATATTCAGGCTGTGTGATTCCAATTTTGAGGAAGGTAATAGGAGATATCGGGGTCAAACGAAGTTCTTACAGGCTATTCTCTATTTCGGTGTGTGGTATCGTCGGGCATACGTTGGATAATATGAGCCTAGTTGCAGGAGTAACCAGTTTACGAGCTTCTAGAACTTGCACAGTGACAATTATTTCTACGCCTTGGCTCATAAAAGATTCAATAACATTTTGACTGGACAAGTAAATACAGACCCTATTGTTTGAGATTCTCGAAGTGAAAATGATCTGTTTAGGTTCAATTTTCGAACCCATAGCTATAACGTAGTCCTGGATTTTGACTCCATCAATCGAGGGAAATAGAATAGCTTGATCTCTAGTCGGAAATTTAAAAGTTTGTACGGCAGTAGAGTAAGACTGAGGTTGACTGTTCGAAACTAAATTAGAGTTTTGTTCACTTTGAGTATCCCTGTAGTCAAAGATGTTCTCCGTGTTAGTATCATCCATGATGAGAATTATTTCTTCTACGGTGGTTGATAGGACTCGACTAGCATTCCTTATGCCTGAATACGGGCCTGAGATTTATATTCGGTGATAAGAAACTAGCTTACCAGCGAGAAAACAAACAGAACACTTCTTTCACTATTGATATCAATATACGTTAAGGACGACCGATCTTCACTCGGCGACGACCAGAACGAGACTCCAATGTAATGTTTGTTTCAATGTTGTAACAGCAGTTTGTGATGGTTTGTATTTTTTAGTTTTTTGATTTCTTGAAACCGCATGGAATGGGCGTCATCAGTCTGAAATTGACGTTTTTGGCATACAGGTTTGTACTTTTTGATGAGATCAACGGTAATGACTTCGTGTTCTTTGGAACGTCTTATCTGTTTGCTTGAAATTTCGATAGGAGTCCAGGGTTCAGAATAGTTTCCTTTATTGAGTCGAAATTCATCATCTGTGAGGCATCGTAGTTTAGGCATATGCCCTTCACTTTGCAAAAAACTTTAAAATCTTATTCTCCAATGCTCCAAAGTCTGAAACTATAATTTTTGGAGCCTGTGGATGCAAATTTGGTTATATGTGAGCCAGGGCCATAACTTGCTAATTCATCGATCATATCACTAATAAATTGTCCTGTGGGGATGTCATATTCCTTCGATTAGCCATGTAGATCACAGAATTTGTATCGTAATACAGGACTCTGTCATCCAGCCTCACTAAAGAGCTGTATAGTTTCAGACGAGCCAATGCTGTGAAGTATGCAGCAATCACCACATTGATAGTTGAAAGACAATCAAAACTTTCAC